GTCAGTCTGTGAGGCAGGGGACAGCTTGTACTAGTTTGTACATAATAAATGAACCTTGCTTTTGCATTCTGAAGAGTGGCTTCATGGTGGTCTTCATGGGGGGTCTCAGGACTTAGGCACAACAATAAGACCAAAGACCAAGACAATTTACACATAAAAATAGTCATGTAACGGACTAGAGTCCATACTCATCATGAGGACAGGCATGGCAGCAGGCAAGCAGGCAGGTACACAAGACATTGGAGCAGTAGCTGCGAGTTTATATTTCGGTGCACGCTACAGGTCGAGGGAGGCGGGGAGAGGAAGTTAACTCGGAATCCTGCGGGCTTTTGAACTGTCAAAGTCCCATCCTCCAGCAACGCACTTCCGCCAACAAGGCCACACCTCCTAGTCCTTCCTGGGGACCAGGCTTTCAAACACAGGAGCCTAGGGGTGCTATTATTACTCAAACCACCACACCCTCTTCCGGTCTTCCTTGCTATTTGTGTACTGGCACCAGCTGCTGAGTCCAGTCAGTTAAAACTCCCATAATTTGGCTTTTGCCCTTCCTATCCAGTTTCCCTCCCACCGCTCTCTTTCACCCTTCCTACTTTGTGTGTGTGTGCGGTGTGTTTTCCAGATGTGTGTGTTTGTGTGTGTGTGCGGTGTGTTTTTGAGACATGCTTCTCTATGTTGCCCTGGACGTCCTGGAACTCACTCTGTAGACCAGGCTGATTTAGAATTCAGAAAGTGCTGAGATTAAGGGATGTGCCACCAGGTCCAGCAATCCCTTCTTTCAAGTCTTCGATTTTCTAAATAGCTTCCAGATTTGTTTACATGTGTGTGCATGTATACGCAGAGTTGCCATTTCTTGGTTGCCATTTCTCATGAACCATTCATCTCGGTCGTGTGTGTGTGTGTGTGTGTGTGTGTGTGTGTCAGACTCTGTTACCGGAACCTCCCCGCACTGGGATTATAAACAAATGGCACCCCACCCAGTTTTTTACATGGTTGCTGGAGATCTGAATTCAGGTCCTCCAGCTTGCAAGGCAAGTGCTGTACCAACTGAGCTATCTCCGGGAACTAGCTCTTGTAGATCAGGCTGGCCTCGAATTCACAGAGATCCACCTGCCTCTGCCTCCCAAGTGCTGGGATTAAAAGCGTGCGTCACCACTGCTCGGCCTGTAGTCAGTGTTTTTAACAGTCTCTAAATCCTTGTTATTTTAAGACTTTCTCCAAATGAGAGTTCTTAGGTCACTTGTAACAACTGCTCAGCTATAATTCCCATGAAAACGTGATGTTTTACAGGCCTGGACCAGGTTCGAAGGTAGTCAGTCATTTCTGAGGGAATGTGGCAGCCAGCCCTAACCTGATGGCACTGTGTTACTGCATGCACAGGGGAAAAAACCTGATGCTATCCCAGTTATCAATGAGCCTTCTTTCCAGTTTCCCTGGGTGGTCTGGTTTGTGTGACAACTTACACATCCCCTGTGATGTCTAAGGAACCTAACCCAGTACCTGGCACCCCTAATAGCTGTTGACCTTTGTACTGAAATGCCGGGGAGATCCTAGTGGCCTGCAGCTGTTACCCATGTGAGAGAAGAATTAAAACGGGATTACTGCTGTGTATAATGGGGGCCAGAAACAGCTGGATGGAGTGAAGCACTTTTATCACCTTTATAAACCCTTCCTTCAGCTCAGCTAGCTTTTTTTTAAAGATTTATTTATTGTGTATACAATGTTCCTACTGCCTGTACACCTTCATGTGTACATGTACACCTCCATGCCAGAGAGGCCACCAGATCTCATTACAGATGTGGTTTCCAGGAATTGAACTCAGGAATTTGGAAGAGCAGTCGGTGCTCTTAACCTCTGAGCCATCTCTCCAGTCGTCCGCTAGCTTTTGACTTGACTCTCAGGCTGTTGTCCTCCTGCTGGCATTAAGAACAAAATTCATTTCATCTGAATTCCGACTAAGTCTAAGTCTTTGGTTTTCCCTGGTGGATTGGAATTCCACAACAGTTAGGAACATCTTTTGTGCTGAGGGTCCTGTGTATCCGCAGGATCTTTCCGGGAAGTGTAATTGCTGATTACAAGTTATTTATTTCCCATGCTGAAATGCTCACCCCCAAAACCAATTTTATTCACTATTTACCACACCAGAGATAATGATAATAGAGAAATCTGTCACTCCACATCAATTATTTCCAGTCAAGGGGCTGGGCTTGTAGTTCGGTGGCTGAGCATTTGCCAAGTAAGCAAGAAGGCCCTCAGTTCCACTTCTTCCACCACCAAAAAAAGCTGGGAGGTAGAGGCAGGGTTCAAGGTTTTTTTCAGGTACATACTGAGTTGAAGGCTAGCCTGGGATAGGTAAACCCTTGTCTCAAAAAAAAAAAAAAAAAAGAAAGAAAGCAAAATAAGAAAGGAAGAAAGGGGGGAAAAAGAAAAAGAAAAATCGAAACTCCAAACTAATCAACCAAAGGCGAACTCAAAACAAAACAAAAACAATAACAACAACAAAAATCAAAACAACAACAAAAATTCAAAACCCATTTATTACCAACCTAGCAAACTTGGGCACCTCTAGTGCACATACAGTCGCCTTTCGAGTACCAAAGATGAACTGAGACACAAGCAGTATCCGCGGTACAAGCCCTCCCCTAGAGTCTCGCTGTTCCCCACGCCCAGCTTCCGTTGGCCCACCTCTCTAGGGAGCTAAGGCCCCAGGCTCAGGACAGCTTTCCTTCCTCCACCCACTCCTCGCTGTGCCCGAGGGCCTCCTTCCTCTCCCCAGCTCGCTGCTGAGTCCCTTCCGGGCCGCCGTAGCGCGAGCGACGCGGGAGTTCGGCAGCCGCGTCGCCTAGGCAACGGCTCGGCG